TGTTCACACAGGCGGTGCAATACTTTTGTCACCCCTCTGTATATCCAGTGAATGCTGATTAGATGTAACTACACAGTTTATGTACGTGTACTTATGTACTTTTCATTGTTATTGTTAGGATAAAGCCAAAACTCATTAAAACTGTTTTTTCAAAGATATCGCGGACCTTTGCTGTCCAATTTCTACGTGCTTATAAGTTAAATATGCTAAAGATATTCATGTGAAATAGAGTTGTTAGTCTTTCTCACCCCCCCAAAAAAAAACGATATTAAACAATTATCAGCTTCCTTACACACACCAAAGGACACCCTCCTAGTTCAATGTAGATCCTTGTATCCGGTTTGGAACATTTCACCCCTAAAATCAATTTACAGTACTCTAAGTGCATTTTTTCTATGCCTGGAGCACATTGGTGGCCCTACATATCACATCCATAGTGGGCAATGCTAGATACATGTGACAAATGAGATATAGCGGTGATGTTATTCCAAGTCATGTTGCTACATTTGCCTGTTTATATTGAACACAGCTTTACCCCACACAATTACAAAGGTAAATGGGATGACAAAATTTTTTATACAAGCTTCGTTTTTAAATACCAGCTCCCTCAAGATGACATGTTTTCATTACAAACACAATGTTAAGAAATCAGTATGTCACAACCACCACACTTACCACACCAGCTTACCACAAACCTTCCAATTTACATTCACACCAAGAAAGAATTTGGTTTTTCGAGATTTGACCGAACAAGACCGCTTTTATTATATAACCCCTGTATCCTAATCATCTTATGTCTCCAGCCGGGCGATGCAGCAACTCTTCGTGCTGTCAGTCTAGAATCACATGTATTATAGTTAAAGTAAGCTATCACTCTTTTTTTAAATCATTTTGGATAGAGCTTACAGTTCAACGCTGCCAATACCCTTTTAGGGGGACTACTAACGTAAGTATATAAAGACCACATATCTAATATACCACGAAATGGAAAATAAAATATTATCTGTTTAGACAGTTGTGAAGCCTTGGGCTCACGCGATTTCATGGTAATAGGGCATGCATTCAATTCATTTCTGATTACAGATTTTCCGGACCAATGTTTTTGTTCCTTTTTTACAGTATGGAGGCCTTTGGGACCAGCAGGCCTTGCTTTTGTTTTCATCTAGATTGTGGTTTCATTTTACTAATGACTTTCTTTCCTCAAATTTTTTGCCCCCTTTGAGCCAAAAAGTCATCCTTTACAACACCCAATGTTCTCTGCTCCACACACATTGTAGTTTCTAGTTTTACAGATACATCACAGTAATGACACGACACGACTGTTCGAAAGATATGCTTTTCTGACATGTTTATTTGTTTATAAAATTAGATTTATATTATTATTCTCCCTGCTACTACGGGTCAATTGGCATACTTTTACTGTAAACTTATTCATATTTAGTATCTCCGTAACAATGGGTTAATGGACATGCTGTTATTGAAATTTTTCATATTCAATTCAATTTATTTCTGTACTGATACATAGATTATCATGACCTTGTACAATATAATATACTAACGACAATACAATTGGTGCATTACCATTTCTCTAGTTGGTAATTGTGTTGCCTGTTTGTGAGTGAAAAAAAAACAATATAAAATCGCCGCTACCACGGGTTGATGGGTATGCTTCTATTGCACATTTGGGTTTATTACCGTTACGACGGGTTGAAGGGCATGTTTTACGGCTATATTTATTTTATAATCCCCGCTAAGACAGGGCTGATGGGCATCTTTTTATTGCACATTTATTCTATTACCCCCTATAAAAGGGTTGATGGGCATGTTTGTATTGCACATTTTTTATGTATTTGTATTATTCTCCCCGCTACGACGGATCAAGATGCACGCTCCTACAACATATTTCCTCATTTTCCTTTCACTTGTAACCAATTGACTTTTTGCTTAGGTTCAAGGTTCTTCCCGACACGTCTGGGACATCTATTCACGCTGAGATATCGATTAATGTGCCGCCAACCAATCATATCAAGCTACCTGGAATACCGATAAATATAGGGTTTCTCATGGCCGTGTGCTTGAAATTAATGTCATCTTTTTCATTAACTGCGTCTCTCTGTAATCATGAATGTCGATATTTTGTGACGATTTATGAAATGAAATGCACTGGAAATATAATGTATTTGGATTTTCAATTAATTTATTAAGATGTCGATATAGAAGAGTATAAACATGTAAACCTTTGCATTCGGGAATTGATTAGCAGTTGAGTTACAAGATAAAAAGAGGGTATCTGGTGGGCAATTTAACTCATTTGCTTTCACGGGTGGAAAATTGCTTCTGAGTAGCATTACTGTAGTATAACTGTCCGTGTGTAGGTATAGTAATGCAAACAGGCTGTGGGAATTTGAATATGATAGATATCAGCCCGTTTCTTTTGAATAGATGTCAAGATTTAAGCACACCTGCATCTTAATCATTGTAGAGCGTCCGAAATGCACTGTATATTTATAAGCCACTGTGGAATATGTTGTATTCAAAGTCCACTTCAGGTATATTTAAAAGTCCACAAGTACCTTTCTTATCTCATTTTATACGTTTTCTTGATTCTAAAAAAATGAAGTCCATGTCTGATTCTGAAGAGTCACTGCAGTGGAATTGGTTCCATTCATAGTTCCGCTGACATAGTTTTATTGGACACTTCTGTAAATTCAAAACAACGCGCACAGACTCTTGTTAAAATGATTGAATATTTGGAAAATTAGGGACATAAATTTTCTTTCAAAGTACTCTGTGAAAATTTACACAACACCTTTGACAACTTTGACCTAGAGTAATAGATGACGCCATCCTGGTTCATTGCAGCTACACGAGATAATGACTTTTGGACGGATTTCTTTATGGCATACATGTAGCAATGCCTTATTTGAATGAATCTAGTATTCCTCTCCAATCCACGCTTCCTTTAACATAACTCATCTCCTTCCCCATATAAAATTGTCGATCACTTATTGCCAGATGCAAGCCGAAGTGATAAATCAATTTCCAATGAAAAAAGGTAGAAAATGCAATTAGAAAGAACTAGTAACGAGTCTCCGCAGTAAACAGACCGGTCGTCTGAAGCATAACGTTGTTGTTGTTCAACACCGGGAGTCCAAGCACGGTACCCTTCTCCGCGTACTTGATGATGTACTGGTTTATGCGGTCCACAACGTCTTGCGACGGTTCCTTGTAGTACCCAGCATCACGAACGACCTGCAGCATGCCCGCGACAGCACCGGCGACGTGAGGTGCGGACACTGAGGTTCCACTTTTCTCGGCCCAGCCGCTGTTGTTTGCGTAGTTGGCGGCCCTGATGTTCAACCCTGGAGCGTAAATATCGACGCAAGGTCCGATGGCACTAAATAAAGCCACAAAATCATTTATCTGGGTGGCTCCAACTGTGAGAGCCCTGCGTACGCTCGCCGGGGATCTGGAACACGCGTCGCCTCCAAAGCTACCTCCAGCGCTGACTACCATTGGGATGCCTGCATCGATTACTGCGTTCACAACGTTGTTGAAGGACGGGCGTTTCGGACCACCGAGGGACATATTTATTACTGACAGACGCTTGTATAGTTGAACCTGTGTCTTTACCCAGTTTAGCCCTTCCAGGATCTCAGACTCCATACAATGGTAGTAGCTGCATACCTTGACGGGGATGAGGTTTACCTCCTTGGCTACTCCATAGGTGGCGCCACCTAAGGTACTGGCCACATGGGTACCATGCCCCATATCGTCTCTACTATCGGCAAAAGAACCTGCGTGCCACCCTGAAATACAATTCTGAGAAGTGTATACATTTAACAAGTTTTACCCTATGTAAATAAAGATTATTATCATTATTATAATTATTATTATTATTATCCTTCCCCTCTCTCTCTCTCTCTGTGTCTCTCACACATAGTTTTTCCAAACACACGTTTACTCTCTCTCTGGCTCTCTCTCTCTCTCTCTCATGCTCTCATAATGTCCTTTACCTGCAGACACTCTTCCCCCGAAGTCCACATGATCAGGGTTAATTCCGGTGTCAACGACATAGGCGTCTGTCCCGTTGCCCACACCCCAGGTAAAGAAAAGGTCATCATTCTTCTCGTAGTCTATTCTGTCTACACCCTATATAAAATAAAAGAAACGAAATATCAAAATTCATTTTTCATACTGCAACTTAGGAGTTTATGTCCGTTTGCTATCTTGCTATTAGTAGACAGGTTCTTCTCAACTCTTGATGAAAAAATTGCTTAAAGTCATAATAATTCTTCATTTTGGCCAAAAATTGGATTTTCCTGGAGTAAACGGCAATTTTCCCGTACTTACCAATGGTCAGCGACCCCATTCCTGCATTCAAAGTTAATCCAGGTTTTTTTTCCTAAACGAACGGTTTTTTGTTAAAATCTCTTAAGAGATTTTAACTGACGGAGCTCTCTCTGACATCGCATAGTCACTGTTGACCTACTTAAAACCGCGGGAAAAGCAGACAACAACAACACTATATAAGATTCATGAGATATATTCGTCTTTTTGTTAAAAATACATTAATATCCACAATGTGTGCCATTCTGGGCTTTTCGTTATCCGACGCACTGTACAAAAACTCGCAACTTACGTCTGCGTCCGCANCGGAGTAGCCCCACATAAATTATGGCCGTGGTCTATCAATCCCCAAAAAGCTTTTACTTATTTACTCAAATGACCGAAGGAGTGGTAGCTGAAGTTACGATGTACAATATTGAAATTGTCCAAACCCAGAGACACTGGAAAAAATCAGAAGCACACTAAAATTCCAAAGTACCATACATTCTTGATGATAATATATCATTTGCCTCAGTTTTAACTTCTTCATTCTAATGTTCTAGGAGTTGATACATTTAGCAGAAATTACAATGTGAAAAATAATTAGAATCAGCCAACCCCAGGGAAAGCCTAATCTCAAGGGACTCATGAAAAAAAATCTAAAACTGTCATCAACGGAGAGGTGAGCGATAAAGCCCCTGCAAGAATATGTGATATTGAGTTAAAGAAGTCAAGAAGGAAGTGTAAATTCCACGTTTATCCTGAGCTACATTTCACGCAAGATGGTCGTTTGCAAAGTGTTCCAGATAACCAATGTAGAAAAAAGAGATGTCATGTGTGGCAATTTGTTGCATTCGTGAACAGAAATGTAGATTTACCTTTTTGTGCCAAAAGAAAGGTGTTGTCAAAGTGTTGACAACACCTTTTTGAATGTACTTGTGCATTCGATTTTGTTATTGAACTTTTTGACATCCTGTATTGAATTCCGTTTCTGCTTTCACTATTTTGCAATAAAATACCTTTAGCAATTGTTGAAAGTAATAATTATGATTTTTTAGGGTGAAATACATCAAAAAGAGTACAATTCTCGTGCTCCCAATGACCCCAGAGTTATGCAAGGATGGAAATTGAGGTTCTGATGAACAGATATATAGCTTGCAATCACCCATGTGAATGATTTTTTTCCTTGGCGGAGGTCAGTGGTCTTATATCTTTTTTAAAGACACAACTTTGATAAAAATGGCCACTTGCTATCAGGAGAGAGAGACTGCACAGCGTTCAGTGTAGCGAACAGTGTAGCGTACTCAGAAAAGAAGCCATGAAACATAATTTGTTATCTCATCGACACACTCACGCATACAAACTGTAACATACGCCTGCACAGACCCAGTGATATTTACCCATGTTAAACTGGCATCGTAAGGCCCTTCACGACGGTATGTATCTAACGACACTTTTGTATCTTCTTCAATTTCAGCAATGTGGTCAGTAAGCTTGCGAAGCTCTTGAAGGTCACTAGTGAAAATCAAAAGTACTTCAGCGACGATAATGGCGAAATGGCATAAGTCCGGACTAAATATGCATATTTGATATACATGTGAATTTTAAACATACATCTTAGAAAACCTGCACTACAGTACGGTACCTGCATAATGACAGTAGATAAAATTATCAATAAAATATAATTACAATTGTAAGAAATATAAGGTAAAAATCAAAATTCGAATGATGAATCTTATATCAAAATTAAACGATTTTTATTGTCTGAAGCAGAGTTCTTAATGGAAAAGGCATGAGTGAAAGAAAGAAATACCAATACCTGTCATTTATATCCTTAAGTATAACGTAGGTGATGCCCTCACTGATATCCAGTCTTTTTGGGGAGCCTCTTCCACCCAGGGTGCTGAGAACTGTAAGGAGTGCAAAACTGTACATTGTAACTGTAAAATGGGTACGTAAAATATATATCACATATGAGGGAAAGATACTTTTTAACCGATTTCCGGTGTTAATGTATTAAACTATATAAGACTCCTGCTGTATTGGTATAAAACTGAATTAATTGCACTGAATTGTTTATATATATATATATATATATATATATTTCAAGGTGGTACGCCTACTTTGGTTGTAATCGCCACTAGGTTGCATTTTTACAATGTACTGATTGGGAACGACAGTATTTTCCGGAGCAAACATCAGCGGCACTGGAAATGCAAAGTGATATATATATGAATTTTCAGAGGACTTTCCTCCACTTATCTATCATACACCCGTCAATTGGTAAATGCATATGAGGCTTTGTAATAGGTTCTACAACAGAAACACGGGGTGCTTATATATATAACGACATGTTTTGCTTTCTAGAGGTCAGCAAACTTTTAACGTTGAGAATATCCTGGACAGAAAAGATATCCTGGACAGTTATTTTATATATATATATATATATATATATATATATATATATATATATATATATATATATATATAATTTGAATTTAGCTATGATTTTTTTAGGGTGAAATACATATATATATATATATAACGACATGTTTTGCTTTCTAGAGGTCAGCAAACTTTTAACCTCTTCAACTACCGACTACTGACCCTTCCCTTTATTTCTATCTTTAAATGTCTTCAGATATGCAACAGGCCCGTAGCCAGCAATTCCAAAAGGGGGTTCTTTTTCTGGAAAATTGGACCTTTTACAATGAAACCTTCCTGTACCTAGGTCAAATTTTACCCAGAATGGAACTTTTATTCGGAAAAGGGGCCTGGTCTTTCGACTCCTCCTGGCTACGGGCCTGTGCAATTAGATAGTACATTGGTTTCCCAGGAGGGTTACTTGAGCAATCACTATGATTCAATTATACTTATGATAAAGACGACTTCCAGAAAGAGTGCTCAGTGGCTTCTGGACAAAAGGTGATAATTTGAACTGATTGAACAAGGTCAATTGTACAGAACCATTTCTTAATATAATTTTTAACACTTTGTAAACAAAATCCATCTCCGTCAACACAAAAATAAGAACACTGAAACCCTACGTGTGGTCAGCACTCTTGTATGATTGTGAATGCTGGAATATCTCGAACAAAACTAAGAAGAAACCGGAAGCTATCGAAATGTGGTAAATACGAAGATATGTTGAGAATATCCTGGACAGAAAAGATATCCTGGAGAGAAAGGATATCCTGGACAGAAAAGACGGAGTAGAAAAACTGGTACTCTGTGGAAAAATTGAAAAAAGAAGAAGTAGAGGAAGACAAAGAACATCATACATTGATAGGCTTGATGCCTACGCAACGAATCAACAACTGTACAATAACGAGCTCATCCAATCGACTGAAAATAGAGTTAACTGGAGGACCGAGATCGTTGATGCCTTCACCTGGCCTGACACTTGATGATGATGATAATGAATGAAAAATATGGCTTCTAATTTTATTGAGAAACCTTGTGGGACTATACTCACGCTTATTAACTTGACCTGCAAACTGATTATAAAATTATAAGAGGCAGTTTTAACCGACAAACTTAGCTAAAATAAATTAAATTACATTCATGTCACATACCATTACTTAATTAAATATTTTTAATACTTTTGGATGTTATGAAATTGGTAAGTTTAACAGTTGGTTATTCAATGAAGGGCTGGACAAATGAAAAATTCATTTCAGGCATTAAATTTCCATTATGACAGAAATATGATATTAAATATTAGCAACACATGCAATGCACTATAAATATGATGAATCTCTGATAAACAATTTCTTACTTCCGTACCAAAATAGTGTCATATATATCACATTAATATTCATTGTTATAAGGGTACATATAGACTAAAGTTCAATAGTACTTTTCGTGATTATTGGGCAACCGGCCATAGTGTAAATTGGGGAAGTGAGTAGCAGTGTGTTGACCTTTCTAGCGTGACCAGTGAAATGTTTCAACACCTCTTATGATTTTATAAAAAAAAAATGTGGTTTCCAAGACAGGGGGTAGAATTTTGAATACACAGTTGACAGGAGAGAGTTTTGGCTCGCAAAATTACCAGAAGATAGGCTTTTTTCATAAGAACCATTCAGAGAGCCAGACAACTTCAAAACCATACGGGCACATGGGCAAGATTGCCAGGTTCTGGTCGCCAACCGAAGAAGAACACCCAGAAAAAGAGAACGCTATCACATTTTGGGTCTAGAGAATATTTCATGACATGAAAGGCAAGAATAGGCCTAAACACGCGTTAACTATCTATGGGTAAAAATGTACAAATCAACGCACTTCCATACATAGTTAAGGGAAGCTCACTACACCCTACTGACAGTAAAATAAGCATTAGATAAACTATTTTCCGCTCGTGCTCCAAATATTGTATCAGAAATGTCAAACTACATGGAATAAATTTTCGGTCAGCAACAGAAAACCCTATTTCCTATTGCACCAAGTACTAGGGTAAGATGAAACTTTCTGACAATTTATCTGGGGAACATACATTGCATAGTATTTGCCATGACGCAAAGTCCATTGAGATACAGTTTAAATATTTATAAAACAATCTTACGTCATGTATAATTTACCATGACTGAACGCGATATAAATATTAAAAATAAATTAACCGGAACATACGTTACAATTTAGGCACCTTACCTAATGTAAAGACATTAAAAATTAAATCAAAATTGAGACAGTCGTGGATTTTTGTTATATATATATATATATATATATATATATATATATATATATATATATATATAAAGAAAACAAGTTGTTCAATACATATACTACGTGGCAAACAACACACGTGGCCTTACGGTTCCAAAGATCTTCTACCGACCTGAAAACTAACGCAGTTCTCCTCGTGTATACACGGTGTGATGGGGCAAAAACACAAAAGATGTTTCGCTTTTTGAATAACACCACAGATACATTCCAGACCGTCTAAAGGGACTCGGGCCCAGCAGCCCTACTGCCGGGCCGTGTGATGACAATCTGTACCGAGTTGCAACGATTCTTTTCAACTCCTTTAACTTTATTGTGCGTATCCCAGACTGTTAAATCTTGATTAATCTCTCTATAAAACACAGCCTTACAACTTTGTCACAGAGACATTCTTTCTTTATAGTTCAATAAGTCAACTTCCACGTAGGCGAGTTTTTTTTTTTTTTTTTT